ACATTGTGTTTGTTTCATTCCAAATCCATTGTGGTGGTGTATAGAGCCAAAGATGTTAAAATTGTGTCGATGTCCCAATATTTCTGGACCTGACTGTATATAGTCTGAGTTCACACACAGTGCTAAGCTGGATTTTAAGCCATGTTTGTTGAACAGACCTTAATGGTTTGGTTTGAATATTATGCTATTTTATAGTGGGTGAGTTTGTACAGCATACTGTGCCAGCATTTCTCAAAATATGAGTCTGGGCCCAGCATTTCCTTGGAGAGCCACAGACACTTTGTTCCTGCCTACTTGCCGCCATTCTAATATAAAAAGAATTATAGACAAGTAACTTGAAGCTATATTGAAAAAGATAGCAGCAGATCAAAAAGATAAAGAATCTTACAAATAACGGATTATTTTTCTTCTTACTAAATGTTTCTCTCAGAAGATTGTTTCTTTCAGTGATAGTTGTTGTTCACGCTCTTCCTCTTCCTGTTGCCAGGAAGATCTTTTTGATCTGCTGCTATCTTTTTCAATATAGCTTCAAGTTAATTGCCTGGCCTTCATGGTTTTTAGTCTTCTCAAGTGGGCCCTAAAGATAGAAAGTTGAGAAGTCCTGTCCTAGACTAGCTAGCTAGACTAAAATGCATCTTACATCATGTGTAAACCATACCATAGAGTTCCCTTCTGTGTGGATGTATTAAAATGCTAGTTCAGGTACTGGGGATCAGTAGTTCATTCCTAGTTTTTCCTAGGCTTTCATAATGATTTCGTTTCTTTTTCTAGTTTGTGAAGCCAGAATAATAGCAGGATCTAAAATAGAAAGAAATTGGCAGGTACAAAATGCAGGTGGTTTAATATGTGGCTATTTGTGCCAAAGATATCAGTTTGTTCTAGGAAAAAATTGAATGTATGTGTTTATGAACTGCTTTGCCAGATGAATGCAGTGGAAAACAACATGGAGCTTTTTAATTTGTTCTCAAAGAATTCCCAAAAATACCATAACAACAGGATACCTAGGAATTTGAAAAGCTTAGCTTCTTTTTGTCTTTTTATTCCAATATACACATTAATCTTTAAATTGGGTTGGGTATGAAGAAAAATTTGCCTGAAAAAAATGATGAAAAATGTTTGGCTGATCATTCTGCATTATGAAGTTTGCACACAGTTGTTGCCTATAAATTCTAGTGATGGCCTCACCAGATTTTGTAATGACACTGAGATGTTAAACGCTGTCTTAATGTAATATTTGGGCAAGTTCAGTGATGTTTCTCCTTTAGATCTGGCTCTGGTCATCACATGATGTGACAGGCATTCCATGCCAAGAGCTGTTTGCTACACCTTAAGGAATGCAAGCAAGAAAGATATCTGCATGAGTTGCTGACTCATTGATCACAGAGATTCATCACACGTGTGGTGCTTTTCTTTCCAGTCTTAACTCTGGAAGGCTGACGTTTTTAAAGGTTTGGTTTCCTCAGTGGTCATTTCAAAAATAATTTATTTCTTAAAGATTGGGCACTGGGGTTTTAGTATTTTAATTCCTGTATGTGATCCTTAGGTAAAATATAGGAGAGAGCAAGAATCTAATTTGCTTTTTTGCTGAGTTTATTTTAATTGGATTGCATGGTGTGGGCTGCTTGTGGGGTAAACATTGTTAAATATAAAATGAGGGGAGAGCAATACTATACCTGTACTCTTATGTCCTCTTCTGACAGAGCTGCCTTTTTCATTTCATACATGGAGGAACTAGACTTGTTATCTCCATATTACTTAGGTTTCATTGAAGTAATTTTGTTGCTTAGTTCTGTCAGTCATTCCTAGATAAATTTGCAAATCCAAACCTCCTTGGCATCCTTCACTTATTAAAACATTAAACTATCTCTTATTTCAGAAATAAGCTACTTGATACTGGAAGAAATTGTCATCCTGTTCGAAGCAGGTGGGGGGAAAATCCTGTGTCACAAGCTCTGGTCAGTGGCGGTAGTTTTTGCATTGGCTGGAGCACAGGTTGCTCTTGGAGTCTAGGCCATGACCAGCAGAGGAGCTGCCAGGCCGAATGGGCAATCACAAGCCAGCAAGATCTGCCAATTCAAGCTAGTACTGTTGGGCGAATCAGCAGTAGGCAAGTCCAGCCTGGTGCTGCGTTTTGTCAAGGGACAGTTTCACGAATATCAGGAGAGCACCATTGGAGGTAAGGAAGCTTCTGATATCTCTTCTTCAAAGGAGCAAAAGCTTTAGCTTAGACCTTAGATACTCCCTAGATCCCATCATAGCTGTATGAATTTATAGTCTCCCGTAGGACATCAACATTTATTTGTGTGGTTCCTTATGCTTTCATCCCATAGTACTCTGTTCCTTACCTTGCTCTTTCAAGAATCCGGTGGGATAGTGATGAGGTTTACTGTACTGTGATAAGTAAATAAATAAATAAATCAGAATCCAGATAATTAATCACCCATTTTAAAATGTGTGTTGCACAGCTCAATGCTTTACTTTGTCTACAAAAGGCTTTATATGGGACAAACTATTCACTGGTTTTCAAAATTATATTTTAAAATAATGCACTTGTAAAAATAACTTATGAACCTTTTACATAATTGCCTTGATAAGAGTACCATAGAAAACCTGTTTATAGGGACACCTTTATAATCACTGGGTCATCAAAACTCATCATTTATGAGAAATACTACACTGAGTTAAAGCATTTTTATGTATGAACATATTACATTTTTGTAAAATAAAACATAATGTTTCCTTTAAAAATACTATTTAAACTT